ATCAGCTGTCAATCATAACCAGCGCTGGTACTGCACCTTCTGGAACCAAGGTCTAGAGAAAACCCCCTGCCAGCAGCACTTCTCGCCTTCCTTGCTTCTCTTCTTGCATAGTGTGGACTTCTAAGAGCAGGTGACCTGCCTCAAGAAAATGCAGTCCCAGACTCAGCACTCTCAGCCTTTCACGGATGAGAACGCCTCCTCCAAGAACATGAAGAATGACTTTGGTTTGCTTTTGTGAAAGCAAACACATCTATTTACTTCCCACCAGGAAGGTGCCCACTCCACTCTGCCTTGCCCACAGAGCCAGGGCTCCTGTGAGGTCATCTTGGAGCAGCACTTTCAGAAGCATTTTCAGGCATGTCAGAGGGAGAAGGACCCACTAGGACTCAGCACCGAGCCACCCCTGACAGAAGTCCTCAGGGGTGGGGAAGCAGAAGCCAAAGTGCTAGGGAGGGTGCATAGCCAAGAGACAATTGTATGAAGAAAATATGGAGGAGCTGTTACTTGTTCGGTACTAAATCATTTTCAGGGGACAGAAAGACTTGCTGCATTTCCTTTATGCTGACTCGTGGGAGTTAACCCAACCATCGATACAGGCACTTGAGTAACAGGAAGGGAGGGAAAGCCTGGCTTCTGGACTTCCTCCTCCCTTTGGGCACTTCTCACACACCTGCAGTGGCCAGGGTGGGGGGTCAGGAGTGTAAGGCCATGCTGGCTGCCCTTGGCTGGTCACGCTGGAACTCTTGGTTTATTCTGCACATACAATGTGCAGCAGCACAGGAGACCATCTCAGTGAGCTCTAGCTGCCTCTGCAGGAGGGGCAGCATGCCTTTATTTTATGGTTAGAAAGGCACAAAATTTCTATCAACCTAGCTAAAACATTCCTTTTCCTTGTTTCTTTTTTTTCTCCCTCTGTTACCATGGAGTTTTCCGATTCTCTTCTGGTTTTTGTTTAACAAACGCTTTAGCAGTGTAATATATTTATATTTTTTCTCCCTATTCTGGAGGACCTGCCAGAAGGATTGTTTCTGAAGCAGGAAGCGTGGGACTATCTGAACCATCCTCATAGTGAGTCTTTATGACTGTAAGATTGTAAATACAGATTATTTATTAACCCTGTTCTACCTGGAATTAGATTGCATATGGCAAATGTTTGCCAGCAGGTAGCTGAGGCGGATCAGCAAATTGCTCCAGAACCAGTGTGTGGAATGCCAACAGAAGTCATCACTTTTCATTTGGGGCTTAGAGTGAATGATTTGGACTCCTTTGGCTTTTCCCCTTAATTTTCTCTGTCTTGTGAAGTGGAATTAGGTGGCTGCCCATTTGTGTGTGTTTCTCCTTGTAAAGGAAGCCATGAACACTCTAAGGCTAGTCCACACCACTCCTTGTGCCTATTTCCAGGAAGAAGAAAACATTATCACCGTTCTTTTTTTTTATTTTCCCAAAAGATACAAAGGTGGAACTTATATACAAATATTACCTCATTTGTTGTGTGACTGGGTAAAGAATTTTGGAACAAGTAGAAAGAGTTTAAGTGTCAAAAACTTAAAACTACTGTCGTGTCTAAAAAGTCAGTGTTGTACATAGCATAAAAAGCCTTTGCAGAAGATGATCCCAATAAAGAAATAGCTTTGAAATGTTAAATACAACTTCTCAAAGTTCTGGTTTTGTTCTATCATCTTGTACACCGTTGCTTTATTTTTATAAATTATTTTCTCATTGCCATTGGAATAGAGATCTCAAACTATGTAGATATGCTATTTAAATAATTTATCAGGAAATACTGTCTGTAGAGTTAGTATTTCTATTTTTATACGTTTGCACACTGAATTGAAGAAATGTTGGTTTTCCTTGTTTTAGTTTGTTTCTTTGTTTTTGTTTTTGTTTTTGCTTTTTACTCCCCAGTTTTTACTATTTGCCAATACCCTTTTTTTCTAGGAATGTGCTCTTTTTGTACACATTTTTATTCATTTTACATTCTAAAACAGTGTAACTTGTATATTACTGTTTCTTATGTACAAGGAACAATAATAAATCATATGGAGATTTATATTTATACTCACTGTGTCCGTGTTTATTTTGTTCTTTACTGTCTGGCTATCATGAGGTGTGTGTGGGCAAAAGCCATTCTTAACCAATAGCATATATGTAGCATGGCAGGAAATAGCATTCATGGTTCCTGTATGGTTGACAGACCATACAGCTAGACTTAGAAGACACAGCCATATTTTTGGAAGAAAAAAAAGAGCATGGGTTTGCCACATGAAGACCTTAAAATAAAAATGACCCTTGAGTCACAAGTTCCCAAAGAAAACATTTCATATTTTATTAATATTATGTGTCTTGAGTTGAATCCTCAAAGTCCAGTTGTTTCTAAAAAGGAACAGTGGTGACAAAGGAAAGGACAACTGTGAGAATATGTGACTTTTTCTGACCCTAAGTGATAGAGCTGGATCACAGAACAGCAGCTCTCAGAGAAGTGTGAGGGAGGAGCTGTCCTGGGACTTAGCCTAGTGCTCAAGACAATAGTTTGCAGAATACATACTTTGGGTCGAAAACATGGAAGTAAAGAAATGCAAAACTGGGGCTAAAGAGATGGCTCAGCAGTTAAAAGGGTTAAAGTGTCTGCTACTCTTGCAGAGGATCCTAATCATGGCATCCCAAGTGGGCAGCTCATCATCACCTTTAACACTACTGCAGGGGATCTGATGCCCTCTTCTGGCCTCCATAGACACCTGCACTCACATTACCTGAGTTTGATCCCTAGATCCTACCTACATGGTGAAGGGGAGAACCAATGCTCACAAGATGTCTTCAGACCACCACATTCTCTTTGCATACACACACACACACGCACACCCACACGCACACAAACACACACACACACACACACACACGAACACACACACACACGAACACACAAACACATGCATGCACATCATTTTGTTACAGCAATGCAAATTTTGGAAGGCATGTACATGAGTGTGAAATTATTCAGTGAAGAGAAAATGCTATCCTGTTCAAATTCTAAGCAGACCATGATGGATTAATCATGGATGTGGAGACCCAACTAACTTCTAATAAACAGATCAATGAAGGAATTCTAGTAGTTGAATTTGTAGTAGGCTTTGAGGTCTGGGAAACACTGGAAAAGACTGGCTGTGTGAGGTGGAATCTGCCTCCCTGGTTGATGGTCACCATTGTTGTAGAACCACTGACCTGGGTGGCATGATAACAAATATGAAGTGTCCCGTCACCCTAAGACCCACAGGGAAGCAGGGAGAACTAGCATGTGATGAGAAAGTGATCTGACAGTGATAACAATCTGAAATGTGGCACCAGTTCCTCCCAAGCTGCTCCATATGTGGATTCCTGGAGGAGAATTCTATTTAATTTTTAGCAAAATGCTGTGGCAAAACTGATAGAGAATGCTAAGGTGAGGCAGAAAAGGTGGCCAGATCAGCGCTTCTAGGCCAGGCTTATTCCATTTCACTCTAAGAACGACCTTCAAGGCAGTAGGTTATACCAGATTAAATACTTGTTAAAAACTAGAATTACATCATCAAGAGGATAGATTTTGACTCATATGGGAGTTTATTGCCATGTGTTCCGGGACTGTTTGGCTGAAATGCTATAAACTGGGCCCTGGAGAATTTACAACCAAGGTGGTGTTGGTGGTTTACTAAAGAGTCCTGTCTAGAAAAACTATATAGCCCCTGAATTCTTTCCTAAAGTGCTCTTTCACTCTCTCTCTCTCTCTCTCTCTCTCTCTCTCTCTCTCTCTCTCTCTCTCTCTCTCTCTCTCTCTCCTATAATTTTTGTTCTTATTCTGGAGAAAACACCCCAACTTACCAGAAGCCAGAGTGGTGTGGTGTGGTGTGGTGTGGCTTGGTTTGGTTTTGAATCAGAAGACTGCCTCTTAAATTATACTGTATATCTTGCTTACCCACCCTTGCCACTTTCAGCTGGCATGTTGTGGAATGATGTTATTCCCTTTAATTAAAAAGTTTATTACCAAATGTCATTATCTCCTTCCCCCTACCTAACTTTGGCAATAGCCAGGCTCCTTGTGCCTCAAACACCATAAGCAGAAGCCTTCTGTAAAGTCATAAGCCTGTGCCATTCCCATAGAAATGGTCTCTTTTTGTGTTTCTTTCTTAGCTTACCTCTTCTCTCTCTTCTCTTTCTGTGTCTCTGTCTCTCCATTCCACCTTTCATACACATAGCTCAAATACAAGAAACACATAGGTGCAGAAAGTTTGAATTCTTCTGAAAGGCTGATGGGCAATAATGGTTTCTGTCTGTCCTACCCCAAGTGCCCATCATGCCATCTCTGCCCTCTGACTGTTTCCACCAAACTCTTCAGTACTCTTCAGTACCCAGGAATACCACAAATCATTCTGAGAGAACCTAAAATAGTGATATGTTTAACTTTGGTAGGCATCACACAGCAAAACTCAGGAATTAAGATAAATCACACTGTAGGTCATGGACATCAGTGTGTGCCATTGCTATTTTAAATGGATAAACAGTAGGGGGGGTGGCTTGGTGGTAGAGTGCTTGACTGCCATGTGCAAGGTCCTGCGCTTAATCCTCTGTACTTCGAAAACATAGTCAACAGAAATGAACAAACAGCAAACTGAAACAGGAAGGCGGGACAAAGACACCCATAAGAATGTGGGTGCCCTTGAAAACAGTAGCTATAGAATTCTTCATTTCAACAAGTCAGGGAAATATGTAAGCCATCATTAATGTCAAGCAGGGCCAGCAAGCAAAGGTGTGCTGACAAAATTGAACAATGCTGTACCCACAGTGATCCAAACTGTATTAAAATCAGGGCCACAGCCAGCTTATTATGAATTAGAAATGAACTAGTCTTCCACCTACTAGACCAACTCAACGTGCACGTGTGGCCTCAAAAGCTTCTCACAAGATCAGATTCCTGACTCAGAACTGGACAAACATTCTCTCTTGAAATAATGCTACAGACTTTATTTTAATAAGGTTCACCTTTATTTCCTGCATGTTTAAAGGACTACATTCCAGAAGAACATGACAAACTGAGAGTAATAAAAAAAATCCATCACATTGACACTTCAGGAAGGTATCATATGGTTCAGCAGTTCTAAGCACTGGCTGCTCTTCCAGAGGAGCTGGGTCCAATTCCCAGCACCCACATGGAAGCTCACACCTGTCTGTAACCCCAGTTCTAGGGGATCCAACTCCCTCACACAAACATACATTCAGGCAAAATACCAATGTACATTAAATACAAATAAATAAGTTTAAAAAAGAAGAAGAAAGGAAGAAAGGGCATCACCACTAACAAGAGACCAGGCCCTGCTGACTTTCCTTAGGCGTGGGAATTCATTTCTTTCCAAGATGAGCTGGAGTTATTTGACAAACATTAGATGGGCACAGAGAAGGGAAAATGAGGCAGAACAAAAAGCCATGGTGGCCCATTCCACCTAAATCATAGGAAGTTGAAACACATAAAGCCCAATGCAGTGGGCTGGAGATACGATTTAGTGACAGAGTATTTGCTTCCAATGCACAAAATGCCCTAAATTCAATGCCTGGCACTACCCCCAATAGGATCAAACTGAAAGCAATAAGCACCTGCCCACTAGACTTAACACTGTGTGTGTGTGTGTGTGTGTGTGTGTGTGTTACAATGCTGGCTTTTATCAAGTATCCTTGAGATTCCAACATTGTGATACATTTGTAAACAATTTTCTCAGGAATTTCAGTGAATAAAAACCAGCAAACATTTACACCCCAAATTTCAAAAATATCAAAGGAATGTACTCAGCAAAGAAGGAATTCAAATGTTGAAATCTTTGAGGAATAGTCTCTATGGTGCATTCATTAAATACAAAGAATTCAGGAAAAAAATATATAATGTAACTTGATTTCCAACTTTCTTAAGCTTAAACCCCAGAGAGTCATGCTTCACATTCCTGTGCTTCATCCACAGCATCTCCAGTCTCCTACTCATCTGCTAATAAAATAGCCAAAGTGATTATACAATCAAAAACACATGCATAATTAAGAGAAATCATTCTGTCTGTTAAGCATTTGGTCATTCATTCTTCTGTATAATATAATGACAAGAGCCCGTTTGCTGTTATAGAATAGTCACTACAGATGAAGTCCATGAGAGACAGGTGACTGTCTTCACTGCGGTTGTAGTTCAGAAAACAATTGAGGGTTGAAAGATTGAAGATTTAGGGGAAGACATCAAAATTTCCCTTTTGCTTTCTAGTGAGTTTCTGAGGAGTAGGCTGGAGCCAGAAGTAAATGCTACATGTAGGGCAGATGAGGGTGGATTCCCTTTTCTCTCTTAAAAGAGAGGGGAAAAAATTGTTCTACCAATGGAACATATTTTACTCCCTTTGATAGAAAAGTTAGCAAAAAAAAATAAAAAAATAAAAGAGGAATCGGGAGAAAGTTGTAATCAAAAACTGTCTGCCAGTTCCTCAAAAGATTACCATACGCCTGGCAATCAAGGGGGGGGGGGGGGGGGGGGGGGGGCATAAAAAATGTCCAACAAAAACTCCTATGTAAATATTTATATCTGCATTATATGTAATAGCTGAAAAATGTGTAGGGCCCAAGGGCTCACCAACCAATGAACAGACAAATAACATGGGTTACATCAATACCAGGGAATATTACTCAGAGTAAAAGGAGCAGAGCAGGGATACATGCTGCAAGACGGGTAAATCTGGGAAACACTGTGCTGGGTAAAAAGCAATCACAGAATCACAGGTGTGGGTTATATCGCCACCTACAGGAAATACTCAGAGTATGCAAACTTACAGAGGCTTGGAGTAGAGAAATGTAGTGACATTGTAGGGACAAAGATGTATTAAACAAGATGTAGAGGGAACTGGGACAGATAAGGAAGGGACTGCAGCATCACAAGCCTACCCTGTGCTTTGTAAGTTTGAGTTCATCTCTGTGAGTGGTCAAATCCCACCCAGTGATTCATCCTTGGGGGCTGACCCTTAATTCTATCTCCCATCTCCCCGGCATTCATTGTTTCTTCTGTAAGAAGAAACCAACTCAATACTGACTCAGATTTTGAATCTAAGTGATTAAAGAAACAGGAATCAGGAGAGAAATATGAGTTAAGAGGGAAAGATGAAGAAATGAATGTTGTCAAGTTGCCAGGCAAGCAGTTAGAAACATGGGATTGGGGTATTAATTCAAAATCAACCAATCATAGACCTCAAAGGGAATAGATAGACAGACAAACAGACAGACATATGATAGATTGATAGACAGATAGATATATAGATAGACAGACAGATAATGGGTTTTAGAGTAGACTACATTAGAGATTCAAGTTTAAGCTGTTTAAATAGGCTTACAAATTATGACATCAATTTCTGACTTGTATAAGTAATTGAATATTTGTTTATGTTAAAAACTACCCAGAATGATTAACTCTTGCACCATTGTTTTATTACAAAATTCGAGACTGGACTCTGGCATCATGTCTGGAAATATATAAGAGTGGTTTCTGGGCAGATATTTTACATCTTTATGCTGAGACGATTCTGAGAAATAGTCACAAAACACATGCTCTCCAGCTTACCTACTGCTGGTTCCTCTGGATGGCTGAGTTTCAGCTGTTGGTCATCTGAGGAAGAGTTCACATTGATGTCATTCATGGGATCATCCAAGAACGGGGGCTTTTTCAGTCTCCCGATTCCAACGGTCTTTGACATGAAATAGTCTGCCGCATCGTTGAAAGCCCCCTCGTGGGGGAACTGGAGGCCTTTCATCGCCTCCACTTCAATGATGAGAGCTTCTGGCTTATAGTGCCCAGCCAAGGCTTTGGTGAGATAGGAGTCTACAGCAGGTCCACATCCCTCGTTCTCGAGCCTATTTGCATCACCTAGCTGGGTTTTCTGGGCATTGGCTTCAGACTCATCTAGTAACCCACAGAGGGTGGGTGGGCAAAGCTGTGGAGGCCCAAGTGATGCATCAACACCTTCATTTTCTCTTTCAGAAGGAAGGCCAAGAGGGATGCATTTCTGTTGGGATACACACTCCTCCAGAAGACACTTCAGCTGCTCCTCAGAGAGACGTACTGTGGAGTTTAACTGAGGAAGCAAACCAAAAGTTTTCATAGTCAATTGGCTGATTAAACATGTTTATTCTGGGTAAGCTTCCAGGAATACAAAAGAACTCCAAGTGTCAGGAAAGCCTACACCCAACACATGCAAACAGAAAACTAAGTTGTTTTGAAGTGTCCAAAGCTGTAGAGGGCCGAATAGTAACCTACAGACTAAATTCAGAATCAGTGTACACAGGAATCTGGAGGGCGGAATCATGTAACACTGATACAAATGAACCACTGCACCAACCACTGGCACCCTCCTAACACAGAGAAACAACTGGGGCTGAAGATGAAGTAGCTTCTGTTGGATCACAAGGAAAGGAATCCTGCCATAATTTCCAGTCTGAATTCCTCTATCTCTGCCCAGTCCCCCATGGGAGCCACGTGCCACTCAATTCTGAAACTGGGGGAAACCAATACCAATGGCACCCCCCCACACACACACCCCAGGATTCATTATTCATGTGTCTGTCCACAGCTTTCAGTAGACAATACTGGCAAGGACAGAAAAGGAAGGCTGAAGGTGTGTCCCATCCTGAGATGTGGAGTTGCTTCAAAGGCCCTGGCCTAGGCAGATGCCAGGGGCATTCCAAGAGCAGCGCATTAGGGAAGAAAAATTTGATCACACATATTCAATTTCTACTTGCAAAGATTTCCCAGGGCTGAGTGTTTTAAACAAGACATGAATTTAAAAACCCTTTTTTCCTTACAGTCATGTGCCACCACATCTGGTTTACAAAGCACAGACTTGAATCCGGGATGCGGCGTGCTAGGCAAGCATCCTACCCACTGAGTTACAGAGTGGTTGGTGTGCACTGACTGTGTGAAACTGTCTAAAAACAAATGTAATTAACATTAAAAGCCACATTTTTCCTTCAGGGATGTTCTGAGGAAACACAAACATGAAACAGTTCAAAAAGGAATGGTTTTCCTTCAATGAAACACACTGAAAAAGTGCTCTCCTCCAATAAGTCAGCCTTTAAAAACATGGAGGAAAACAGTAGCTGATTTGCACACCTGACAATAAGAAGGCCCCATAAGAAAGCTTACTCATCAATTGCAAAGGCCATAACTTCTACCTCAGCAGTGCTCTTCACTTACTGGGAAAACACACAAAGAAGGGATGAGAGATCTCTGTGAGAACAAGGCCAGCTTAGTTACATAGTGAGTTCCAGGATAGCCAGAGTTATATGGTACAACTCTGTCTCAAACCCAAAAAGAAATTTAATAAAATAAAAACTCAGTTGCAATCACCACTGGAAGTTTGACAATAATAAGGAATTGTCTACTATTTTTTTCTTAGTGATAATCTGGGATTCAATTCAGAAGGCTTAAGCTGAAGTTAATATGCATGTGAAGAATAGGAGTTGAATTGTATAGCAGCAAGTCCTATTGTTAATATATAACTTCCAGAATCCAGATGTGGTACTGTTGCCACTTTCAGGGCACTACCTTCACCCTCCTATATAAATCTAATCAGCTGGACAGCGAGGGCAGCCCTGGTGCAGCAGTAGGCACATAAATCTAACTTCCAAAGTCACTGACACTGATAAAATTGTTTACAATAAGGGAACTTCCAGCCGAATTCAGAAAGAAGACACTACATAAACATTCTCACCAAACACTTGTCATTATGAAATTGTCAGACAACAGGACAACTGGCTCCCGTTCGAGCAGGAGAATAAAGGATGTGGAAGTCGGGTCTCTGGGGTAACAGGTGGGAGGGGAAATTGGGAAGTCATCTGCTATGGTTGTCTGCTTCCAAGAGTACCACTGATAGGCTAGAAGCTTGGAAATTCTGACAATGAACTTGGCTATTATGAACTCTGAGAGAAAAGCAAAACATTTTATAAAAATGAAGAGTACAGAGTCAAACATACATAGAGGAGGGAGAATAGTGAGAATAAGCAAAAGAAAAGTAACTTCCATCTGTAGGACAAACAAGACCTTGGAAATGGAGAACAGAAGATGCTCTCTCAACTAACTTCTCTGAAATGTTTTTTATAAACAGCTAGCGTTTTAAAAAGAGATAAAGGGCAGAGGTGCTGCTCGGGGGCAGGGAGGATTCTTCATGTTCAAGGCTCTGGGTTAAATCCTCAGTGCCACCAAAATATAAAGAAAAACATATGAAAGCAAATGAAGAAACACTTCCCGTTGATATAGGAGAGCAGCCTGGCTATGAGTACAAAAACAATTTTAAAAATAGAGCTTGTCTTCTTTAGCCTTTCCACAATACAGGGGTGAATTGTTATAATTCTTCCTCTCAAAACATTACAGGCAAAAGTGAATCAAATATAGTAATCTTGAAAACTTAAGTGAGTTCAGTGTTTCTGGGTGGGAGTGTAGATCAGAAAATACCATGTGACCCACTTTTTCTTATCTTCTGGTTCCCAACAGAGTCTTGCCCACAGAAAAACTCAATAAATGTCTACGGTGGGAATTAGATAAGTGAAGAAGGCCCAGAGTGTTTGGAACATGCTTTATTGCATATGCCACTTAAAATCTACCTTCCAATCACAGATGCTAGCCTGGACTACACTCGGGCTCTGTACAGCCATCACTGACCACAAAGGCCATGGCTTAATCCAAATTGTTCATGGCACTCCTGAGCTATTGAGCTCCATGGCTGAGCCACTCGGTGTGAGCAGTCAAGGAACCTGCTCAAGCTTTCACCTCCAAGAATCCACTGTCTGTGTCAGCTGATCTCCATACTTTCATAAACTGGCCACGCTTGCTATTCCTGCCCATCCAGTGCACCCAGTCTTCATTTGCTACCACTGAGAACAAAAGCCCCTCTTCCCATCTTCATTTTAGCTGGCCTTTCATGAGTCTTCTTTTCTTTTATTTTTTTAAGGTTTTATACACATATATACTATACTTTGAGGATATTGCCCATTCGAGTCCTCTCTCCTTCCTATTAGCCTCTTTGTTCCCCTAAGCTGTTTTACTTCTACTTTTATATCATAGGTGTGTGTGCATGTGTGTGTGTGTGTGTGTGTGTGTGTGTGTGTGTGTGTGTGTGTGTGTGTGTGTGTGTGTAAGAGCCACTGTTAGAGAAATCAACCAACATTTGTCTGCCTGATGTGGGGGACTGAATATCGCTGTTATGGAATATTCTGGGTTCCAGGCCCTGGCCACATAAACTGCCGTGGCACCGAGTCGCCATTGTATTGTTAATTAACACCAGGCTGTAACTGTTTACCTGGCCTGAGGGTAATATGCTTCTTATTTGCATCTGTATGTGCCTAAGCATCTGAATAGGCCCTCACCTGGGCGGAGGTGCTGATGGTATGGGAGTAAAGTAGGAGCAGAGAAGGTTAGGAGCAAAGGGGGCAGTGGGCCAGTGGAGAGAGAGAACAAAGGAGAAATGGTTACCTCGTGGTACTAGTAAGATGGCTAAGGGACACAAAAAGGATGGCTAATAAAAAAAATAGCTCTAGTTCCAAAACATGGAATTGAGAGCTCTCTAAAGATGACAAGATGCCTGTTTTGGTCTTTATTGTCGTTGCGTTCCAAGAAGCTTCCAGGTTCACACACCCCCACTCAGGTAGAACCTCATGGCTGTCATGGGTTAAAGCTGAGATAAGCTGGGTCTCGACAAATTGGCGCTGAAACGTGGGACTGAATACGGGGGACAGAAGCCATGGACACCACAAAGAAAGAGGCAAGGCAGAGGCTTGGACACTTCGGAGAGATAGTCGTCTCGGGCGAACTGGTTGGAGAAGAAGCACGCACAAGAAAAAGAAGAAAGAAGTGGCCAAATGTGGTGAGTGAACAGTGTTAAGTCAGGAATAAAACTGTATATAATGGTAGAAATAGAAAACAGATAGATGTAATATAAAATAGCAGCTGACGAAAAAAGGTAAAGCAGGTTATTTAACCCTTAAAGTGATGGAAGATGGGCAAATGAGAGAATGTCAGCCAGCAGCTGATGAAAATAGGTAAAGCAGGTTATTTAACCCTTATAATAAGAGAAAATGCACACAGTAGGTGTGAGACTGAAATGTTCAGTCAGGTTGAAAGACCTCAGAAGAGACCCGCACCCAGGAATCAGCGAAACCACGAACTCTGGATGCAAGAACAAGAGGATTTATTGATGGCGCCGGGCACCCGGGGACTTAGCTTTTTGTTAGGCTAAGCCCTGAGCCCCGGAAGGGGAGTCCTTTTATAGGGGAAAAAGGCACCGTAATAGTCAGGCGAAATGGCCTTTATCTTTTGCCGGTCCAGATGGCTGACCTTGGGACGGAGCGGTCCGGCGGGGGCCGGGG